AAGACAGAACAGCAGAAATTCAGGGGTGTCGGAAGATTTGAACGAGAGGTGTGCACTAATGCTAGCTAATAATTATCTTGATTCTCCCCTTTTAGGTTAGCCGTAAGTTCTACGGATTTAAGTGCCGCTTTTACAGCATTATATTTAGCAGAAGATAAAAATGACAGTCTTCTTGCAGCATATTGGGAATTCCAGAGTTGGACAAACTAATAAGCCGATGAGATTTAAACAAAGATTACTTTGCGACTGTCATGGTAAAATTAGAAGCAGCATGAATTTGTTCTTTGGTAAATTTGTGCAGCCTTTGACATGAAGTAGGCAAGTTAAAAATCGAAGGTAAACATGTTTTTATATTGGATGTCATCGAGAGAATTCTTGTCAAAACCGCTGTCGCCGAGGTGGGAAGCGAATTGGCCATGAGATCTGTGGAAGTGCCTTCAACAGGAGGTTGTGCATAGCGATTCGGAAGTACAGCTTTGGATTGATATCCTGCAGTTATCGTGATTAGAAATTTTAACTGTTTACAATCCTTTTGTCAGTATCCCAAATTTTGATTTTTACTTTGTCATTGTGCATTGAATGCATCATTAGAACCATGAAAACTGAAATAATAATAAGTTACAATTTTAATCCTTTCTTTCGCTTTCTGCTTGCACCTTTATACCCTCATTTCCCTAGGTTCTCTCTAGCATTCGATCCTCCTAATAACGGTACAGAAGACTGGGTTTTAATTCGATGAGATATTGCCCCAAATAACTTGATCTCAGTGGTAAATACTGCCTTAAGGTACCTCCACCCAACAACTCGGTTCCTTTTTTTCACTTTGGCTTTTCTTTCTAATACCAAGTCTCACCAAATAACAACTACTGTACTAGGTCAGTTACAGTTTCAAGATGTCCGCACCATCAGTACTGTTGCCCATTTTATGTCAATATTCACGTCAATGTAATGACTAAGTAACATTTGGCTTTCTAGTTAATGAAACGGTTTTCTTTTTATTGTTTCTAATGCACGATCGCCTCCAGGAATGGTATTTGTTTGCCAGTTTGCTAGTTAGCATCACAGTTTAATATGTAGAGTCCCGAGACTCCCTGAAGACGAAAGAAGACAAAATACTCGGGCAGAATATATATATTCAGCACGGAGAAGGTGTCTGGGCTATTGGCATGGCCCAAAAGGCCAGCCCACCCAGCGAGGTACAAGGGGGCTAATTCGAAGTACAAAAGTGGCGCCCCACCAGAACCGAGGGATAAACCACTATCGTATTACAAATA